GAAGTTTTTTTTAAAGCAAAGACACTGATTAGCTGCTCCAGCCTTATATAGATCCTGTCCCATGCCTTCTGAAACATTGTACTGTTGGTACCTGTAGTGGGCCTATACCTAATAAAATGTCAGTTTTTCAGTGGTGCCAGCATTACATTTGGTTACAGAACAGAAATGTGGGGAACCTTTTGCCTCTCTCAAAACTGCTAAAATTATATGTTGGATTTAGGTCAACAGTAAGGTACTCTACGATACCTGGTTTCTCCATCAAGCAGCAATGCAAATTGGTATGCTCATCACTACTGATATGGGCATAAAACAAGAAAAGAGAGGGAGGAGCATACACTCCAAACTGTAGTATACATAAGAGTATAATGGACAAATTGAAATCAATCGTTGCACTCACAAACAACTGTGGGGAATAGAGGCTTTTCAGGAGGCTTAGAGGATAAGTCCAGAGTTAGTGTATGAATTATCCCAGATCCCTGCCTTGGTCACTGGCTGACGAAAGTGGCAGAGATGGGCTTTTTCGGACTCTCTGCAGCTTCCAATGCACTCTATGAGAAATGTGTGCTGAAATCAGAGTAAGCAATTCTCACAGCTGTACAAGGCTACAGGTAAGGCTGCATTTCAGATTTATTGTTGTGATAACTACTTATAATATTGAATATTGTATTCATATTTTGTATTTTGATAAACATCTTTTACTTATCTTGTATTTTATTTAATTTTGTATTTATTTTGTGTCTGTCTAGTGGGTATTTCTAGTTTTAATCAAATTTTGCATACTAATGCACATCCTACATGTTAAAGTTGTTCCAAAAGCAAAAGGTATTTTTCCCTATTGCATTCTCTGCATTAAAGTAAAAAACCTTCTGAGTGCAGCCCCCAGCCACACATAAATACTTAACTAAGCCCAATCTCAATTCAGTGATGTGTAGGAGAGCAGAGGCTCTTGGCTCTCTCCCTCCTCATTGGCTCAGGGATAGCAGTAGGAGCGATTGGCTCCCCCTGCTGTCAATCACAGCCAGTAAGAAGGGAATGGGGAGGTGGTGCCAAGCCATGCTCTGTGTGTCTATGGACACACAGAGCCAGCTCAGGAGTAAGCCTGCAGGACTGGCCCCATAGTAAGCCGGTGGGGGACCCGAGAAGAGGAGAACCGGGGCTACTCTGTACAAAAAAAATAATCTTTTACAATCACTTTAAAGTTTACTTTTAATTGTAATGTGCATTTTATATTGTTGTAGATATTATATTGTAGGTGGCATGTTGCTTTATGATTGATAGTTTGTATTATGAATAATAATTTTGTTAGTTTATTATTGGACATTTTGTATAGTAAAAGCTTTTGTACCTTGATTCAGTTTCATATGTTATTGATAGTTTATATTGTGATAGACCTATAAATTGTTATAAATGTATTATGTGCATTGAGTGCCATGATGTTTTTCCTATTGTGATAAATAATTTGTAATATGATGAATAATTTGTTTCACAATGAGCACTGTAAGTTGTAATTAATATTTGCATTATAAAGAATATCTTTGTGATGGATATTTTTGTGTTTTGATCTAATTACAGAAAATAAACCCAATTTGACCTATGGAGAGGGAGCATGCTATTCTCAAGAAAGAACATTTATGGTGAGCTGCAGACATTTATGGACCATGAACAGAGATTGACATACAGCCTTAATTGGTTTATTTTTAGACAACTGTAAAATGATCTGCCGAGCCTCTACAGAAATCACCTAGGCTTGTACTTATTATTCCTCTCTGTTATTAACAGAGCTAAATTAAAGGGGCATATTTATAGTGCAATTAATCTGGTATTCACCAAACATCCACAGCAGGTGAATTTTCATGTTTTAAATGGCATTGATTCACCACCAGTGAATGTTTGGTGACAGTCACATCCACTACTTTATAAATATGCCCCAAAGTCTTGTAACAGATATGCAATATGGTTTATTTACTAAAGGCAAATAGACTGTGCACTTTACAGGTGCAGTTACTCCAGAGCTTAGTAAATTAGGGGAAGCTCTGCTAATTTCCATCATCCAATCATGTACAAAAAAAATATTTTTTTTTTAATATTTTTTGCATGTGGATATTGGGTATTCTTTGCAAAGTGAAGCTTTACCTCATTTAGTAAGCTCTGGAGCAACTGCACAGTTTATTTACCCTAATGATCATTTACCATTATAATTACAATGTGAAATGTTACACTTCTGTATTTTATTTTTGTAAAACTTATATTGTTAATGGGTTTTCCTTTTTGTGATTGAATAAAACAATTTTACTTACGTTCCCCTTTCCTGAGCATGGATCCCAAGCAATGAGCTTTTCTGGATGTGTGGAAGGCTAATCCAGGGATCCTGGGATTCTTTTTGCAAGCTGACAATACTAAGCCATAGCCTTATGAATAGCGGCCATATTGTATGTCTGCCATACATGTCCATTCAGTTGGCTATTAGGCTGCCTATCTGACTGACCTAAAAGGCAGCCCAATGGCCAACCGAAAGAGTGCAAACAACAGGCTGACAAGATTGCTACTAATTGTGAGGCAGTGGCTTGGCATTTTCAGCCTGGAACAGGAAGTGCTGTTAATGGCAGGATCTCAGATAAGAACCTTTGCAACAGATTCATAAAAATAATATTTCTGTCAAAATTGAGAAACCCCCACAATATGTTTATTTTTTACATTCACACAATATATCTAAAAATAATAGACTGTGTTTTGTTCAAAATAGCTTGATAGCTTGCAATGTGCAATTAGGAATAAGACTGAGGGATATTTTTTTCTATTGTGCGTTAACTAACACACAATGAGCCACCAAAGCCTTGAGACATTTAGTGCACATCTAAATTACAACTGATAATGAAGATCTGCCAGCAGAGTACAGACACGGTTAAAGTGGTATTTAAACCCCAAAGCAAAAAAGTATTCAATTGCAGCTTACAAATTCTTAGATGTTACTGCATTATTCTTCTTTATTTAGGCTTTTTTCCCTTTATTTCTACCTGGTGATTCAGCCAGTAAGTCTGTTATTTTCAACTTACTTTAACAGATCAAGCTGTCCAGACAGTGTAGCAGCTAGAGGGTTGGGACAAACTTTTTAACACTGACAGGGGTGCTTGCAATGGTCATCTCCCACAAAGAAAAAATCTGTTTCCTGTTACTGCTTATAAAGAGTTCAACTTTACTGTGTTAGTCAAGTCTATCTAAATCTGCTAGTTTAACACTCCCCTCCTCCAAGACTGACCATGCTGGTGTCCAGAGGTGTTTGCTTTACTACTTTATCCAGAATGCATACATGCCAAAACATGAAATGTGTTATTGGCCAGATCAGCAGATGAAATAAAGAGGAGAAAAACGAATGCAGCCACCACAAGGACTGAAAAGCTAAAATATATAAAATGTTTGTTTCAGGGTTTATTTCCCCAGATCCCTCATTTACATTACATAGAAAGAGAAAGCTAAGTATGATTTTTCAACAAGGTAAGCAGTACATTTTAATTCTCTTTTTTTAACAAATCTAAAATAGGTGTTAACCCAATTTGGCTGCAACAATGGTAATATACTTTAAAGCTGTTTTGGCCGTACTTCTCCTGTGGATCATAGGAGTGCAGTTCACTCTGCAATCCTGTAACCTATTTTCAGCTGGAGCCAGCAGTCGGCTGATGTCACTCACCCGGTCTAGGCTGAGGAAAGATCCTGACTTAAAAGTTGGGATCTATCCAAGAGTTTTTGAGCTGTACCTGGCTCAGCCTCTCAGAGAGCCGCTGAGAGCCTGAGCCAGCCGCTCCCTCCCCCTCCACAGCCCAGTGCTCCAATGAGCACTGGGGGGGCAGAGCAGAGAGCGGTGACTGACAGTCACCGCTCTCTGCTCAGAGCAGCTATGAGAACTCGGCAGTCATGTGATCATTGAGTTCTCACACTTAGAGTCGGCAGGGGACAGATGCAGCATCGGACCGATGCGGCATCCACCTAGGCAAGTATAATTGGGGGAAAAAATCCAAACCCATATTTCTCTTTGAAGAAATCTGTATATTGTGTGACATGATGTAGGATACACTAATAAATAGATTTAGATTTTACATACTGTATACTTCAAGCATATTACTTAAATAAAATAATCATTTTTTTTTTAATACTATTATTAAACAAAGTTAGGTTGTTGTACTCCCGATATTGCTTTCCTCAAATAAAAACAATTAATAAAATAATGATGATAAAAATCCGTTTCAAAACATCTGCTTCACTGTGTTCCAAATTGTATCGTAATTAATTTTTAGAAAACCTGAGAACAAAGTTCTCACAAGTCATCCCATTTTTTCTTTGAATATTACTTTTTGGGGGGGAAACATACAACATTTTTAAAAAATGTTAGCTGACAACAAAAACAGTATATGACTTTTAATAAATAATTTTATTTTTAATTGTTTTAAAATGTCAGTGTGTTGCTTAAAAATTTAGGTTAGTAACTACAAATCAAACATTTAAGAACTCTGGAACAACCAACACAAGATAATTAGTTTTCAATTGTGACTTAATTGCCCCCTAACATTGCTATAGAAAACAAGACATGGCTGGTGTTTGTAAGAATGCAACAGTGGGAAACCCATAATGCTTGTACTTACTTTACATGTGTAGCAGATGAGACACTGAAGCTTGCCATGTGTCCAACAATGGCAGAAAAATATTTAAGTTTTTCAAATTACATGAAATGTAATTGATATATTATTGGTTGAAATGTGCAAATAGATCTTTTGATCTTAGATTCTTTAATGTGCCATATTGTTATATCAGCAAGGGAGAATGTCACCAGCCCACCGAGGATCACCAGTATGGGTCCAAATGTTTTAATGGACGATCACAGTTACAGCAAGGCAACGTTTCGGAGTCTCGCAGGACCCCTTCATCAGGAATGTGACCTGATGTCACATGCCTGATGAAGGGGTCCTGCGAGACTCCGAAATGTTGCCTTGCTGTAACTATGTGATCGGTCATTAAAACCTTTGGACCCATGTTGGTGATCCTCGGTGTGCTGGTGACATTCTCCCTTGTTGATTCCGTTTGGTTCCAGTCGATGGTCGCTGCAGCACCCACGTATATACACAGCCATTTTTAATGCAGGAACGTGTGCATTTGGATTGTACACTTGCATACTGTTCTATCACACACAGGTCCATTTGCTGACTTTGTCTCACTCTCCATAACTTCCAGGTTCGCTTCCTAACTCTGACCCTCATTCAGGATAAGCCCTCACACTGACTTTACCTCCTGCTTGCTTGTGTGTGTGCAAAGTTTTACTTTACAAAGAATACCCAACTGCATGTAAATAAAACATTCACAAATGCTAGTTGTGAGTGATGATTGTTGTGCCCCTGAAAATATATGGGTATCGTGATTGGTGAAATAACACCACCTTTTTAGCTTTATCGGAGATTTGGCAGGCATACAGGAGAAAGGGGTTAAACACAAGGCAGAATAGGGGAATCTGCTGGATGTCATCAAAAACGGAACATAGCATATGCTGTGTTGGTGTTTTTGGGCAACATCTCACTGATATTGCTATAAGGAAAATCATCATGATCTTTCTGAGATCTGGATGTTTGAAAATCTGTTAACATATCCCTAGCCTACTGCACATTGCTGCTCTGTTTAAATTGCTAATGGCACTTTATTTTCAGTGTCTATGTGTCCATATTTTTCAGCCTATATCCCTGTAGCCAGGTCCAGGCTACTGCAAGATGAATCAGGAAGACATAATTCAACAGAACTAAAGACTACTTAGTTGCCCTCTAGTGCCTGCACTCAGACCGCTGCATCACTTGCTGCATTCTTGTATCAGAGCAGAGTACTTGGGACTTGTAGTCCTGTTGTCAACCATCACTGTATTTCAGAGCCTTTTCTAAACTTCACACCCTGGAAAGTTGGCCAACTATAGGAATGTGTGAGAGCCTATATATTTGACTGCAGCCAGTAATGACGGGCTCACTCTCTTGGTCTGGGACTCTCTGGTTGGGTTGGTTGGGCTGCTGCCCTGCACACAGTGACAGCACACTGTTGCAGCCTAGCCTGCTACATAAACACTCAAAATTGTGGATCTGCATTGCTGGGCACAGCTTGTGAGGCCAAGTGTTGCTGCTGTTCTGCAGCCTGAGACAAGCACAGCAGACCATGAGGCCACCTGATGACTCTACTACATGGTTGGCCAGCCCTAGTCCATTCTTCATCTCAGCTAGACTGCAGCACATCTGCACAGCACATCCTGCTACTGCGGAGGCTTCCTTCCAGCCAGGATTAGTGCACAAAACCCTTCATCCTGCCATGTCACTGTTTAGAGACACTGCATGCAGACACCGTAATCCTGCCACTTTGGGAACCGCTACCCTTATTACTTCAGTCATACTTTTTTTGGCACTACAGATCTCTAAAGAGTTATGTTTCATTCACGGGCCCCAACATGCTAGCGAAGATACCTTATTGCACCTAAAATCTGAACTGTCCCTAGTGGCGCTTTGTGAATCTGCGTAAATGGAAAACTCCATCCTTTATCTGGTATAAGAAACTGGAGACTTGCTCAGTGTTTTAGTGGTTCAGAGGGGTCTGACCTGTTTTTAAGTCTCTTCTTCTTAAACCAGTGTTGCACTTGACCACACTCTTGCATTTGCTCGTTTATATATTCTTTGCTCTGAATATCTATAGCCTGCTATACCTTTAGGCCTGTATTCTCATATTCATTCTGCTAGTTTAATCCAATGCTACTTAATTGGTGTCATACCTAAAAGGTTCTTTAAAGCTGACTTGTGAAGTATTTAACTGCTATCCTGAACCATTTATCCAACTTCTTTCAATACAGTATTTGCTGTGTTAAATATGAGTTGTGTTCTTCTAATCCATAAAGGAGTGTAATTTTCTGTGTTGAAAATGTCTGTACCTAGAGAGTCAGAAGGGATGAGGGGTATACAAGGTCAATGCAGAACCAGAGGACAAGCATCATCCAGCGGCTACTACAGGAGTAGCTCTACATCCCAATAAATATAATGATGACTATAGCAAAAAATAAGTTCTGGCTTTAATTACACTTTGCTGGCACATAGTAGTATAAGCGTTTTCTAAAGAATTTCTTGGAAATGCATTTTTTGTGCTTAATACTGCTTAAAATATTATATAATGTCTTACCTATTTTCAGCATGTTTTTGATAGGCAGATCATTCTTAAAAATTTCAATTAATAACACCAAAAGCTTTTTTGGAGTGAACAGAAATCACCTTATTTCATTAGATCAGCATTAGAGAGCTGATATAAATGTGGGGCCTTTCTTTACTGAGAATATATGGGATCTTAAAATGTAAATGGTAACATAATCAATATATTCTTGGAATGTGAACTGCAGGCTATTCTACTGAATTGTACCCTTCTATCATTATCTCAGCATTACTACCTTGGCTTACACAGCATGGGATGATATCTCCTTAGGGCAAATTGTCAGACCTTATCTTTCAGTCCATTTGCTATAAATTTCCACAACCATTAATAACTTTTGTAGATTTACTCAAGTTTACTTGCTGTACCACAAATGTTGAAACAAATCATAGACCAAGGAATGCTAGAAATTTGTGTTTACCAGCATATTAACTTCCTGATGACATATGCCTCATTAACAACACTTTCAATGTTCAAAATGGTGGGAGAGACAAAAATTGATTAACATTATTATGATTAGTGTTTTATTATTGTGCGAATGGTAGGAAATTGATTTCTGCTTTGAACTGCTCTGTAAGAGTATAAATATATATAACAATTGTAATAATATTTTTTATTATGTCTTACTGGAAAATACCTTGACTTCAGATAATTATACTGCAGAGTAAGGAGAAAGCTTAAGGTATGTATTTAAATTAATTATAGAAAATATTTTATTAGACAAAAAATATTTTTGTAACCCTGGGAAACAGGACCACCTTCCAAAAAAAATAAAATGCAGCAATGGGCCACGCTGATAACATCCCAGACAAAGCAATTGTGAAAATAAATTTCCTGTCACTTCAACTGATTGTTTGCTCAAAAGTACAGTCTCAGGTCAGTAAATGTGTAAGCACAACCGGCAGCAGCTATTGGCAATACTGAAAGTGTACAGTATATCCACTTTGGCAGCCAAATTGGGATAACACCTACTTTTTTATTTGTTACATGTTCCCATTAAGTTAGCATAACCGAAAAAAAACAATTGTTGATTACCTTTTTAAATTTGAACACTGTCTGCCCCAACAAAGGGTTACATATTTAGGAAACCACCCTTAAGAATTGTATGCACAGACTATGTAGCAACAAAGACACTGGGGACTGTCCAGAAATTCTGAGAATCAGCCATGACACCTTCGCATACCTTTTTTCAACTATACGGTGGGAATACATAATATCTAGCAGGGTTACCTGAAAGTTGACTGAAAAAGTGAAAATATGCTTTAAAGCAGAGCTCCACCCAAAAGGGGAAGTTCTGCTTTATGGCCTCGTTCCCCGATCCACATTAAGGATTGGCACCTTTGAGAAACAGGGGGGGGGAGGGGGTATCCGAATTTGACAGGTACCCACTCCGTCCTCTGCTGTGATTGTGATCGAAAGTGGAAGTTGTCCAGCTATCAATCACAGCCAATGAGGAGGGGATAGGGAGTGGGCAGGATCGATCAGGACTCTGTGTGTCTTATGTGTCTTATAGAAATACAGAGTCTGCTCGGGAGCAAGAACACATGAGTGCCCCCAGAGCAAGCAGCTTGCTTTTGGGGCACTCAGCAAGGAATACCTTCAGTGGACTCAAGAAGAGGAGGATCGAGGCTGCACTGTGCAAAACTATTGCCCAGAGCAGGTAAGTATGACATGTTTGTTTGTTTTCAAATGTGAACCTTTAGTATCACTTTAAAGGGTAAGTTCACCTTTCGTAACTTGTTACACCCACATTCAGGTTGTAACATGTAACAACCAGATCGGCCCCCCATTCCCTTTGTGACAGTTAGTGGGGGATCTTCTTCTCCCCGCTAGCTGTCATGATTTTTTTTAAAAAAAACACGGCCATGCGGGGCTCCGCCCACCTGGCTGCATCATTCATTCACAGTATTTTGTGAATGGGAAAACTACAAGTCCTTTGCAGCTATCAGCTTGTAGTTTTCAATAAACTACCATGGCTCTCCACAGTGCCATGGTAGTTCATTGAGCCTCCTTGTCAGTAAGTATCTGCTTGCCCATACGGGATGCATGAGCAAGCAGGTCAGGGGGAGACCTGCATGGCACCAGTGATCTGTTGAACACTAGTGCAATGCTTTAGAGGTTCCACAAACAAAAAATAATAAATGCACATTTTTTTTACCTACCTGCAAAAGGTTAAAAGGTGGACTTATCCTTTAAGTCATAGACAAACACCTAAAGTTATCACAGGGTACTAAGAGACACATTCCCAGCTTAATCCAGAAAGGCAATGCTATATGTCCAAGTAAATTTAACAGTTTTTATGGCTTAGAGACTAGTGGCAAATGTCAAAAGTCATATTGTAAAGGAGCACAAAACAATAATCTTTTAAATCCTCATGGCTAGCACAGAGACAGCCTGTAAACTAGTGTTTATCCATTCTTGGGCCTCTCAAAGCACAGGTATCAACACCCAAATGTCTTATAAAAGCTAGGACATTGATGTTTCTTACATCTGTCTGCAATGGTATCGATCAACAGGTTATATAAATTTGTAACCTTATTGTTGGAGACAGTCCAAACTCAGTTGAAATTCACAATCCACTGGTACAAAACAGCAATGATGTACTCAGTAAAAAATATATCTTATAAAGCAGACATGTTTTATAAATCTGGAGAGTGCAAAATATCAGCACAGATGTCATTGTACCTCAACCAGTCCACATCAAGTGCTCTGTATTGGTCTACAATCCAAATCCACGGTGAATAAATACTAGTGTACAGGCTGTCCCTGGGGATATAACCACTTCAAGTCCAGACACTTTCACTCCCTTCCAGTCCAGGCCAATTTTCAGCTTTCAGCGCTGTCACACTTTCGGTGGCAATTATTCCGTCATGCAACACTGTACCCATATGAAATGTTTATCAGTTTTTTTGAGACAGATAGAGATTTCTTTTGGTGGTATTTAATCACCATTGGGTTTTTTATTTTTGCTATATAAATGAAAAAAATACTAAAAATGTGGAAAACCAAACATTTTTTGCTTAGTTTTTGTTATAATCTTTCTTCATAAATGTAGGCCAAAATGTATTCTGCTACATTTTTGGGGTAAAAATGACCCAAAATAGTGCATACTATTTGGTCTGTGTGAAAGGTATAGAGTCTACAAACTATGGGATATATATTTGAAAATTGATCAGTTGAGACCATAAAATGCCAGACTCCTGGCAATAGCTGGTAATAGGTATGGCAATGATCAGGACACCGATATGGGGTATGGTGGTGATCAGGATGTTGGTATAGCATATGGGATGATCAGGAGGCTGGTGTCGGGTATGGTGGTGATCAAGGCGCCGGTATAAGATATTTCAGTGACCAGGACACTGGTATGGCATATGGGGTGATCAGAATGCTGGTATGGGGTATAGAGGTGATCAGTATGCTAGTTTGAGGTATGGCGGTGAACAGGATGCTGGTATGGCAAATGGGGTGACTAGAACACTGCTTTGGGGTATGGCGGTGATCAGGATGCTGGTATGGTGTTTGGCGGTGATCAGGATGCTGGCATGGGGCATGGCGGAGATTAGAACGTTGGTATGGAGCGTGGTAATCAGGATACTGGTGTGGGTGATTGGCATGCTGGTATTGAGTATGGCAGTGATCAGGGCGCTGGTATGGTGTATGGCAGTGAACAGGGCACTGGTATTGCATATGGTGGTGATCAGGGTGCTGGTTTGGCATGTGGCGGGGATCATGGCTCTGGTATGGGGTATGGCAGTGATCAAGACGCTAGTATGGTGGCCAACAGGACTTTGGTATGGTGTATGGTGGTGTTATTGTGAGCATTAGTGTCATTGGGACAGGTGGCAGGTGCTGGCTGCATTGTTTATTATTACTACAATGGGACAGTGATCAGGGGCACTCGGGCTGGCTGGCACTGCAGGCTGTGAGTGTACATGCAGCCTGACAGGCTGCTGTATACTGACAGACTGCAGCAATGGTTCTCTCTGCTCTCACAGCACATCTGTGTGAGAGCAGAGAGAACTAATCTTTACTTTTGGTTTGACAAGTTTACAATGTGATTGCTGTAATTGGACACAGCAATCACATGGTAAAACACCACGTGATCACCCAGGCACACAGCGGTAATGTGATCTGTTGTGTCTGGGTGACACATGGGTCAACGGGTTCCCGGGTGCACGTCCTGTGAACGTACAGGTACGTTAACCCGCATCTGCGCTGCTTCCCTTCTGATGTTTATTGGCTTTAGGCAGATGGGAAGCAGTTAAAAAAAATATTCCTATGGTTCTGTATTACAAGGGGGGGGGAGTCCTCTTTTGGACGGGACTTGAACGGCACAATTCTCTTATATAATACATTTGAACAGTTCAATAAAGATTTTTTAAAACAATATGCAGTTTTATTTTTACAGTCTTAAAAAACAAACATAAAGCTACAATACATATTGCGGCGGTGTCATCAAAGATGGTATTGCAAATCTAGTCATGGATCATGCATAATTCGCACTTGAGGTGTTTCGAGATCAACAGAAATCTTTTTTTCAGAAATTCTCAAGAAGGCATGACGCCTATAACAAACATACAGATATGAATATACATCACACGACTTTAAGAACTAATTAAGTGCTGCCTATCAGTGCTCATCAATGCCCATCAGTGCTGCCTCATCAATGCAGCCTTGTCAGTGCCTCCTCACCAATACCCATCAGTGCAGCTTATCAGTGCCCATCAGTGCTGCCTAATCAGTGGCCATCAGTGCTGCCTCATCAGCCCCCATCAGTGCAGCCTCACCACTGTCCATCAGTGCAGCCTCATCAGTGCCCATCAGTGCAGCCTCATCAACACATATCAGTGAAGAAGAAAAATTACTTCTTTGCAAAGTTTTATAACAGAAACTAAGATTTTTTTTTTTTTCAAAATGTTCTGTCTTTTTTAATTTGTTTAGCAAGAAAATATAAAAACCCAGTGGTGATTACATACCACAAAAAGAAACCTCTATCTGTCTCAAAAAATGATAAAAATATCATATGGGTACAGTTTTGCATGACAGCGTAATAGTCATTCAAAGTGTGACAGCGCTGAAAGCTGAAAATTGGCCTGGTCGGGAAGGAAGTGAAAGTGCCCAGTACTGAAGTGGTTAACTAAAAAAAAAGTATCTTCTTTTCATCCAACCTCTATGAACCAGTCACACACAGTATACAGGTTGATATTTTTATGGAAAGGGGACAGCAAGTATAAGGTCTTCCACCATTCTGATATTAGTCTTTGAGTCCTGCACTTGGGGAGTGTAACATGAAAATGTAGTCAGAAAGTGCATTTGTACCAAATCCCAAACAAAATTGAGTATTATAGAAAACCATAGATGGTTAAGTGAGTGACAAGGGCTACCCTTTGGGGATGTGCTTTGAAAGGTACCCCCAAAATGGAGCTCCCCTTAAAAGCAAGAGCACTTGAGCCTGATGCTGATTGCTGTTTTTTCCAACAACCCTGGTTCCCAGGGGGGATGCAAGCATTCAAGGAGAGTTATACAGTGCCACCAAAATCATAGCTGATGATTAATTCGGTTTACCTTCATTTGAGTTGTTCTATGTATTCCATACTGCAAGAATCTACAAAGCATTGACCATATTACAGGATCAGAGCTGTGTAGACTGTCCAGTCCAGACTCTAAATTTGCTTCCCATTTTGCACATTACATTTAAAGCCCATCACAGAACAAATGTAGTACTCCCCCTAGTCCCTGTCAGGCCCACCCACCCCATTTCCACACATTCACACTTTAAAACCATCTGACTTTTTTGTTCATCTGAGTATACCATGTGACCCTCTGCTTTGCCTCTTCCCTAAGTGGAGGCTAGTGATTCCCCAGTTGAATTCAGTCCTTCCAACTGGTCATGTTGCTGCCTTTCATTGTTACATCACTCTTTTGTCTCTAGAGTCTATAAGGCCTTGTGAGTATCCGACCGTTAGGAAGCATCCAATAAACTAAGGGAGGGGTGTGGCTACTCAAATTAGGACCCTCGCACTCTTCATACCAGAAGAAAGAATACTCAGGACTTGGCATGTCATGTGAATACAAAATCAGGTAATTATTTGGGCCATTTAGATTTTTTTTAACTGCAAGATTAGCTATATGGGGGTGTGTTCAATTTAGTGAAGAAGGGGGGTGGCATTAACTTAGAGATCAGCTTAATGCCTTAGCAGGTTTGTTTGGAGACTGAGAAACTTCTTAGTTTCATTTTCTTTACATTTAGTTGACATTTTTTTTTATTCCATGAAAATGTTTATTAAGGCCAATATCAACATACAAAAAAGGCAAATTATTTGCATTTTACAGAAAATCCAAAAAAGTACAGCAGCAGCTACGTTAAGGACTGAGAAAATAGATAGTATTCAAGACAAGACAAATTTATACCAAGATTTCAACAGTAATAAAAGCAAACATACTCCTGGAGGCAGCCTCAATGGAGCCAACATTGTAAGTGCATATCAAGAAATTGGCTAGCCAGGACTTCAAAAGCAGCCGTACTCTTCGTGAAGAAAAGAGAAAAGAAGAAGAAAGAAAAAAAAAAAAGCACTGACATTTTTTTGTGTAAGGTTTTCTATATAGGGGTGAAAACAAGGACCCTGCAGTAGATAGGATCAGCAAGCCCTCTCCTGCATTATA